TTTTTGTATTCAGGTGTCGTTCGAGGAAGCAAAAGAAATCATGAAACACGATCCTGAAAGATTCAAATCCCTTGTCCAAGAAAGGTAAGGCTTAATTAAATGTTTTGTTTAGCCGCTGCTGCCGCTGCAAAGTCGTATTTATATTTTGTACGCGTGAGAGATTTGATAGACCTTGAAGACTCTACACTACTCCAGTTTCGAGTTGCTCAGGGTTGGCCTTGATTTTGTGCAGAATATTCATGTGTTCCAGTGAAGATCCGTGGTATTTTTGTTTCGTTTAAGTTGTGCATTCTATACTTTACCTTTGGTATGCGCCATTTTTGCATTCTGGGTTCGATCTTTGAGTTAGCCGTGCCCTGAGCTAGATCAGCCCAGAGGTTGTTTCTGGGTTCAATCTTTGAGGTAACCGTGCCCTGACCAAGATCGGCCCAGAGGTTGTTTCAGTGTTCTGTCTTTGAGTTAGCCGCACTAAATTTGATCAGCCCTGAGGTTGTTTCCGGGTTCTGTCTGTGAGTTATCCGTGCCCTGACCTAGATCGGCCCTGAGAAGTTGTTTTTGGGTATCGATAAAAAATTAAAGGTTTCGATTGAAAAGCTATCAAGGCGAAAATCTATTGCTGCAGCCAACATGGACGCCATGTAAAAAAAAAAGATTCACACCCAATGTACTTTGCCATTTAAGTAATTTCTCTTTTCTKTTTCAATCCACAGCCTTCGCCGACAAGTGGCTGCAATCAATAAGCTATCKAGTCGTGGGATGTGTTTCTGGGATTATGGCAATGCTTTCCTCCTGGAAGCGAGTCGAGCCGGTCAGTTAGTCCACAGTATTCGTGACATCCGTGATCGTTACGTGATCGTTACCTTCAATTTTTTTACTATTATCATGCGCACCGGTTGTAGAGTTAGTCAGTCAGTCCACTGTTACAGTATTCGTGATCGTGTTGATCGTTACGTGACGTGTTTTATCGTTATCAGACGCACCGGTTAACAAGGAGGGATGCCTTCCTGGTACGTTTGTTTATCCTTCATATGTACAAGATATCATGGGGTAAGAGTCTATCGTATTTTCTTGTAATCTCTTTTGTAATTAGGGCCTGGTATAAAGTTAAAAATAGCTCGTCGCGGCACGCATGAAGTTCACAGAATTCAATGGACCAATCACAGCAAG